ACCCACTTTGTAGAGGCTGGGTGTGCCCCAGGATGGTCTCCCCACAGCCAATGAAACAGAATAAATAATTTGTCTACTATGAGCCGGGATTCAAACCTGGGACCCTGAGCATTGGAAGCTTAGTGCTCTACCGCTGAGATACCCCACTCCAAATTGGTAGTTGATTAACTGTAATCTGCTGAAAGGATTATATGCACATGCAAAGTTCTGAAATTGTAGTTCTGATTTTATGAACAAAATCATTTTTAATTTTCCTTTATTTCTAACTTTACATAAATTTCTCTATGTTGTAACTTGTTCATTCTGTAATTTTCTTACATAAGGGTTAAACAAATTTCAGTCCATGAAGGTTCAATGAATTACCAAGTCTAAATAAATAACTAAGAATTAAAATGATATTTCTTGCATTTTCCTTTATGGCATCCACTTTATTTCATTATAAGAAGATAAAATAACAATACTCAAAAGTTTAATTCACTTTACTATAAAACTTATTATACAACTATCATTAAAAAATATATCTTTGCTCTAATGTAAGATAAATGAATTATTATGCATTTATATTTCTTGTTTATTTTAACAGAGTACAAAAACAAATTATAAAATGTTAATGAAGTATATGTTAGTATAAGCTATTTAATGAATAAGATTATCATATTGATTAAGATGTTTATTTTTTTATTGCCTAATATTTCCATATACTTCATCAACATTTTGTAATTTCTTAATGTTTTCATTTTCTGTCACCTTTTGTATTTCTGCAATATTTGCTTGTACATTGTATCTTTATTGCTATATTTTTATCTATCAATCATTACTTTTTAGTATAATTTTATTCTATTATTACTCTTATTCAATATTTTGTTAGTGAAATTTGTCATCATTTTATCATACTTCTTCCTTTTTTCTTTTTTTTTTCTGACATTATATCAGGCAATATTTAATATTTTATTAGGTAATATTGTTTTTCATCTTTGACAATAATTATTTCAAATTTTCTCTATATTCATATTTATGTCATCTGTTTAACATGCTATATTAATATTCCCACAATAGTTTCATAATCTTTCAATCTTTTGTTCTAGTCCTGATGAAGAACTACAGTGTGAGCGAGTAGAAAAGTTGTCATTGAATAAACAGATAGCAGTTATTTGATAAACCAATATACTGACCAAGTAATACCATAAGTCTTAATACATAAGAAAGCTGATAATAGTAAAAAAAGATAAATAAAGATATATTGAATTAAATGTTGTAGGAATATCAAACAACTTAAATATTTAAACTATTCAGCAGACAGATACTTATCTATATGAATTAATTATCAGTTATGCCTGTATCATCAGTTATAGATATGCCTCCATATTTCAGGTGAGCATAAAACAGATATATTCATTATTTCAATCAATTCTTTATTAAATCCTCTTGACAATTTTATTTAGTTATTGTATACTATGCTCATATATATTATTAATACTATATTTGTTTTTAAAAAATGTCTATAAGGAGCAATAATTATCCTGCATTTGTAGCAACCCAATGTAATTGGGCAGCACTCTTTTATGAAAATAAAGTGATTCTCCCCATTATCCAATTCCTTGAACTTCACTATTTACTATAATTCCTTGTATATTGTTTTATGACTTCTGTGCTATCATTAGTTATTGTTTTATATTCCTACAATATTTACTTCAACATAATATCTTTTATCACTATTTTTATTACTTCACTTTACTTTTTCAGTACCATTGTTTTTAACTATTACCAGTTTTCTTATGTATCAAAACTAATATTAATGTAATTATACATGTAATTATTACTAGATATATATAATAGTTCATCAGATTCCTATACTTATTTCTTTTGTTGATTATTATATCAGATACTATTGTTTTTTCCACTTTTAACAGCTATGATATCCAATTTTTATACATTTATCTTATGTCCGTTATTCTGTTATATGTATCTTTTTTGCTGGTGCAATAGTTTCACCTTCTTTATATCTTTTTATTTAACCCCAATGAAGTCCAAAATTGTGAATCAAATGTTTAATCGCATTTAATAGTTATCAGTTATTTAAATAACTGAATTTAAATGTCTCACATTCCATTTCTGTCTTGATTTATTCTGTAGTCAACGTCCAACACATATAAAAATTAAGTAGTTTTAATTTAAACAATGATGGTATGTGCATGTTTCTTATCATAGTATCCTCCTCTAATCAATTTTTCTTAGTAATAATCATAGAAAAAAAAAATTGACAAGCAGCCTTGTATTTCAAGTGAACAAGTACATTTCATCAAAATGCCCCAAATTACTACTACTAATAATAATAACAATAATTTGAACTATCAAAAAATGATAAGAGGGCAGATAGACATTCCTAATACGTTCTATCGTGGTATTACCGTGCTAATTCCCAAAAAACAAGATTGATTGGAACATCAAGATTTTCAAACAATTATTTGCCTCAAAGTAGTTTATAAAATTATAACATTCATTCTCTCAAGCAAAATTCAATTCAACTGTAACAACTTGATTTTAGAAAAGGAGCCAAGGTCTGTAAAGAACTTTTTCTCATAGACTGGTTCATTGCTGACAAAAAAACAACCATGGACCCCAAAGAAAGAATTTTGTCGATAGCATGAATTGATTAGAGAAAGGTATTCGACTTGGTCCCTTACAGCTGGCTGATAGAAGGCTTGGATTTGTATATAGTTCATCCACGTTTAACAGAACTCCTGAAGAAGTTGATGAATTGCTGAAAAAAAAAGATAAAGGACTGCCTCATCCTCCTTTGCTTTTGTCTTACAATGGCTCCATTATCAATTTTATTAAATCGAGAGGGGAACAGATACAAAATAAAACTTAATGAATTAAATGCAATAATCAGTCTTTTACATCGAATTTTAAAGCTTTATACAAAGAATAAATCTCAGTTGCAGTCTATGCTAAATACAGTAACCACATATGTAAATAGGTGTCGTTTGGTAGTAAAAAAGGTGCTGTGCTTCACATGATTAAAGGGAAGCCAAGTAATTCCGAAAACATGTTTAATGAAGAACTGCATATTAAATTAGTGAATAAAGATGTAAAAATTAGCTGATTGAATCAGAATCATTGAAAAAGAGATTGAAGATTATCCTTGCAGTCTATCTATCCTTATCAAAAATAAAAAGTGTAAGTATCTGGGTTGTACCAGCTATATCTTACAGCTTCGGAATTCTAAAATGGTCCACAATTTCTCTCCAGGAATTGAATAGATTTATACAGAAGTATATGACTAAGTTCAGTAATGCATCACCCGACTGCATCTATGGCAAGACTTTAACTGCCAAGAAAAGAAGGTGGGAGAGCTCTCATAAACATTGAACAGGCGTTCCGAAAACAAGAAATGACCCACCCTCAGAGAGTACTTTAAAGAGAGCCATGTGCCATTGCAATCTTGACTATGAGCACACTACTTTATAACTAACTTCTTAAGAAGCTGCATCCATCATTGTTACAGACAGGAACAAACTGGAAGAACGAAAGTATTCCACAGAAGATTTTTTTCATCAGCTTCAGCAATTTGAAATAGATAAGACATCATCTACTAGTTGGCTGGTTAAAGCAAGTATTTTTCTCGAGACAGAGGTCTTTGTGATAGAAATCCAAGATCAGGTCATAGCTACAAGATCTTACTGACAAGTCTTGAAGCAACAGACAGAATCAAGTGTAGGCTCTGTGCCAGAACATTCACATTCATTCAGCAAATTACTGGTGGGTGCAGAGTGCTGGATGGAACAGAATACCTTAAGAGGTATGATGACGTTGCAAAAATATATTATTAGACAATAGGCTTAAAAAGAAAGTTATTGAGTGACTCAATGCCTTATCGTAACTGAAATCCTAAAGAACTTATCCAGAGGGAAGGATTAAAATTTACTGGAATCAGTCTTTTATAACAAACCATACCCGGACCTACAACAGATAGTAATGATGGATAGTAATAAGAAGACAGCTGAAATAATAGATATCACTGAGCCAAATTGTGGAAATACTAATTCAGTCTGCACAGATAAAATTTGGAAATATCAAACTCTAGTTGCTGAGTTGGAATAAATATACAGAACAGATTAAACAAAATAACTATGAGGGCTATAGTGATCTCCAGCAATAGTCTGATACCAACATTCACTGTGGCAGCCACTGAGAAGTTGGGATTCATAACAGCCATTATAAATGAAGCACAGAAAGCTGTACTGTTGAATGCTATGAGTATCATAAGAAGCTTCCTAAATATACAATAGATTATTGACAAGAAATTAGTCGGGGGTGCGGTAAAAAAAAAAATACTACATTACATAATAGTATATTTTATAATATTGTCCAACGTTTTGACCTACAACAAAGGTTGAAACGTTGGACAATATAATAGAATATACTATTATACAATATAGTATTTTTTTTACCACACCCCCACTAATTTATTGTAAAATTGAATCCACAGTGTACCATCATAGATTATACATTCAATAGATTATTGAACTACAAAAATTGACGTGAAGTGGTTGGAATTTATTCTTCTCCACTGCAGGAAAATATATTTTTTTCTAAAGTGTTTAAAAATAAATAATAATATTGATAAAACATATAGCTTTTTATTAAATTTCTCAATGCCATGAACAATGAATCAAACTGAAAAATAAGCATCGGATTCTTTTATAATATTTATATCTGTAAAACTGTTTTATGAACAATATAAGTTCTCAAAACTTGACATCTTAAGCCAATATTCGTTGTTTACCATAGGTGATAACTTCATGTTTTCTATCGAAAACAGGAAGAATGGATTATCATACGGGTGAGTAACTATTTCTGAGCAGAGAAATCTTGACAAGATTCATTGTATGGATCATCATGAAAGAAAACTCGACTCAAGAGTAGATTCAAAATACTTGTAATAATATTATATTAATTGTTTACTCATCTCTAATGTGATCTTAAAGGGAGAATAATGAATACGTAAAAGAGCCATATATTATTATAATTTATTTTTTTTACAAACCACAGTTCACAATAAAGTATAATGCAAAATAGAGTACAGTATGACTATTCTACAGGGAAAAATAGCTGCATCAAGTTTTCATATATTCTTACATCTGTTGGCAAGAACAAGCAGAAAATTACTCTATCAATCTGAAACAGGAAAGAATATTGAATTGAAATCAGACTAAACTAAAGTAATTGCCTCAGAGAGCTATTGATGGAATCACACTTACATTGCTTGATTCTTTTTCCAAAAATGACTTAACACTTCCTAATGCGACTAGAGCAGCAGCATCTGCTGGATAACCTAAACATTTATCATAAATTAGTAAATTTCAATATTCTGAAAACTAATTGGTTCATTCAAAAATAAATTATACTAACCATAAATACCAGTAGATATGCAGGGAAATGCCTGGCAAATAATAACAAATACATTAGTAATAAAAAATCAAAACAAATACAACATAATAAAAATGAAATTTACATCAAAATCATACTACAGAAACACAGCATAATAATAATCATTCTAACAGATTTAACGTCAAAATCAAATGCTTGAAATTATCTTCAATCATCAAGAATGATTAATAAACCAAATGAAGTATAATGTTAATATCAGCTGTTAATGAAAATAGAGGATCAACCAAATCATAAGATAGATTAACTTGAGAGTAAATAAGTAGTTACAGAATTCTATTTGCTCTGGGTGGTGCTCTACAGAAATTAAATAAGCTAAGAGAGGTTTAACTGAAAATAAGAAAAGAACGGAATGAATACAAACCTCAACTGTCATTGGAAAAAAAACCACAAATCTAAATGGATTTACTTTCCCTAGTGGTTAAAAAATCTTTAAATTGGTAGGGTCACTAATTATAGAAGATAAGTATGAGTTTAAAAAAAAAGTACTAACCAAAACAGCAGTAGAATGATTAACTATGAAACATCCTATTTTAGAAATTTGTCAACACTGAGAAAGAGTTAATTTATTAAATGCGTATTCATCCAGTAGAAGTAGCAATGCAATTGAAACACGGGTTCTTACCACGAAAATGGCTTATGTTCTGGATATGAAGGAGAAAAATATCCAACAAAAAGATTATGACTCTACCAATCTAACTGCAGGAAAAAAACAACTACAACAAAACTCATAGATCTTTAAGGATAATCGGATATTGTAGCAGTTACCAAGAAAAGAAATCTTGGTTGTGCCATTTGAAGCAGAAGGAAGACCTACAAAGGAAGTATGGCAGAGCCAGGTTGCAATTTCTGAGTGATACAGAGCAAGAACGAGAGCTAAAATAATAATTAAATTCATTGGTACCCATAAAGGACCAATATTCTAATAAAACACTCTGGAATCAAAATAAATAGTATTTGGCCATCTCTGATACAAACAAACAACTATATGCCTAATTATAATGTATTAAGGCAAATTCAATATACTGTTGTAGGGTCTCAGAACCAGACTACAATGTATCTTATAGCAATTACTGAGATCAAATCCTGAAAATTTAAAAATAAAGAAACATAAAGAAGTTTGAATCCTGAAACAGGAAAATTAAAGAATTTAATGAAGTAACTAAAAAACAAAACAATAAGCTGGTGGTCACTAACAGTAAAGAAACTATTGCAAGAAAATGAAACAAACTCAAAAGGATCTGTTTACATAATGAGGCCTTGCTTTGTCTTATCTACATCAGACTATAGATCTGATATTCTTAATCAAAAGCCAGAAGATTTGATGAGATCTTCAAGTACCCAGAAGGTTTATCACTAGAGACTGGATTTTCAAATTATTATTATGACATGCACATGTTTTTTGCTTACATGTAACTTCTTCTTTTTCACTAGCACTACAGTCCATAAAGAGTCCTTGCTTCCTCCAACAGCAAACGCCATGTGTCTCTATTCTGTGCTGCTGCCATTCAGTTTCGCACATTTAAATATTTTCTAGCATCATTGACTATACAATCTGCCCACCGCAACTTCAATCTTCCAACTCTATGACAACTATACAGGGGCTCAATCATAATTCTCTTGATAGGTAGATCGTCAGACATTCTGGCAAGATGTCCTGCCCATCTGAGCATTCTAAGGTTGATGTCATGGTGATGTTCGGCTCTTGAAATAGGTCATATAGCTTCCGATTGTTTCTCCTCCTTCATTCATTACTCTCATACACACCACCATAAATTCTGTGTAACACTTTCAATTCAAATATGAGGAGTTGGTCTTCAGCCCTCGTTGTGGTCCATGTCTACAAGTGATAACATAGTATAGGACGAATGAGAATTCTATATATAATAAGTTTTGTTCTCCTGCTTATCAAGTTGCTGGAGAGATGCTTCTGGAGTCCAAAACAGCAGTGATTGACAGCTAATATTCCCCTCCTAATTAATCTCCATTGCAGCATCATTGTTGCAGGTTACCATTGACCCAAGGTAAACAAACTCTGAGACTTGCTCTAACCTATAGGACCCAAAAGCAACTTTGGTGCCTTTCAATCTTAGAGCTTGATCTGACATCAAGTACTTGGTAATGACTTCATTGACAATACGTCCCATCCGTCTAGCAGCAGCTTCCAAGGCAAGGAATGTCTAAATTACTGCTTGCCTGGATCTCTCTAGAATATCTATGTCATTTGCGTAAGCTAACATTAAGTATTAATTGCTATACCAAATTTATAGTATTTGTAAATTACTAAGATGTTGTATTCATGGCCTGCACGTCACTAAGTGGTACACTGAAAGTTGATAATTTCGTTATTTAAAATAAATTTTCGTAATTTACAATCAAATCTTCGCCTGTGATGAGATAGATTTTTGGGCACTGGCTCCAGGGCTATATGAGGTTCTAAGATGACAATATAAAAAGGCAAAATTATGGATTTCTTTAAGCAATTTAATGAGCGATTTTTAAACAATATTAATAATTATTATCAAGCTAGGGAATGATATTAGAAATTTATTAATTTTATTATCTTGTTTAAGCTCTAAATAGTCAGGCATTTCTATTTAATCTTAAGTAGCGAAACAACATTTTCCCTTTATGGACTAAATTTCTTTTGATTTTACTTGACATTATAAATCACAAACAAAGGAGAACATACTGATAGTAATGAATGATGAGTTGAACCAAAGTAAATATAAAGATTAAATAATGAATGTGTGAAGATTCCTTTTATCAAAATCCATAGTCTTGTGTAATTTGGCAACATTTTGTCTAAGAACTCATGGCCGAACTGTAATAATACTTTTTTATTTACACATATTTAATACTTGTTTCTTTTGGAACAGCGAGTAAAGGAGCATGAGAATTTAATGGCTTTGGTTGTGAATAGCAACATTAAGATATAATATGGGAAAAAGAAGTTGAAGTAGCCATAGAAAGACTTAAGCTTCGGAAAGCAGTAGAAAGGCACAATATCTCTCCAGAATTCATTAAATACGCCGGAAAGGAGATAATTAAGGTTCTGCAGAATCTTTTCCAGAAAATTTATGAGGGAAAGAAAATTCCTAAAGAATGTGAACTATGTTCCCCTTTGTTTATAATGTTATGAAATAAGATTTCATATTTCGATCCTCAAATTAGTAGCCTAATATTCTTTAAATCAGGCACTTTTTGAAAGCAGCAGCTCTGAAACGGCAGACAAGGTTCTTTTAATTCAGAATAACAAACACTTTCTTAATTTAAAATTTAACCTTCACCTCCAGGAATCATACCATTATTTTATTATTTTAATCATGTATAAGTCCAATGTTCACTGTTCTCTATTTTCAGCATAATTATGGAATCTATCTTCTGCCATTAAGGACCTTTAAATGTACTCAAAATGCATATTTTCTTTTATGTATTATTAACTTTAAATGTTGTTTTTTCACTGGTCTAGATTTAGGTTAATCGTAATTCATTGAATAAGGTTTTATCTCAAGTTACTACATGTTATATCTAATTTTAATTCAGAGGCTAAAACTACAAAATAAGGGTAGATGAGCTTTACATGTATTAATCTCATTAACTAAACAAAAACTAAGATTTTTAGTGTTTTATACACAATTTTATTATTTTTGGATTTTCATTCCATTACTTTGCATATTTGAGTTTTATACTGGACATATCTTGCTTTTTTACTGCATGGAAATCTGGTCTCTATTCATCAAAAAACATGGAAAAGGAAATATATCAGAAACATTTAATAAAGGCCAAGATGTGGAAGAATTGGGGAACTGGAACAAAGTAGAATGGGGATGCCCTTTAATTACCTGGCCAAGGTGTATGTGAAAAATGGATCTCCACCTATCATTTAATTCTCATAATTTAAACAAAATGAGAAAGCTAAGTAGCCAAATGAAATATAAAGCAAAAAAAAAAAGAACTATGCATATAGAGAAGAATGAATAAACATTTACTAATGTAAGGTATAGCTTCCCATAAATATTGTTTACAATCACTTAAAATATAACTGCCTTTTTTATTTACTTAACTATCCATAAGTTTTAGGTTAATGTTGATAATAAATATATGTTTATAGGTTAAAGATCATCTATATAAATAAAATAAAGGTTTTTTCTGTACATTGAATAGAATTAACCCGTTTCATGATATCTTTCCGTTTCATACATTACATGCACCAAATCCACTTTTAAAAAATGTTTTGGCTGGATGTCCGAATTGTCCAACGAAATTTTGTCAGGGGTGAGCTCGGCAATGGCTATTGGTAGACTTTTGAAATTTTCACATTATATTTAGATTTGCTTGACTTAAAACATAGGCTTTAAATGAAAACAAAATATTGAGTAGAACCAAAGTTATGAATTCTTGAGTAATTTGTCTAGAGGTTCCAGTTAGGCAGTTACTTTGATTCCCATCCCAACCTACTCTATAGCGAGCCACATTTAAAAGTTTTACTGCTCAACTGATGAAAAAAATATCACAACTCAATGAGAACATCTGTAACGCGTTGTCGCAAAAAACGGGTAAAACACACTAATTTTTCAACTTTGTCCCATCTTCCCGTTCAAGGTGTCATTCAATTCAACTTTCCGAGCCTAAAAAATGTCGTATACATTTTTTAGGATTAACCAACCAGATTAACTAGAAATCAGGAGAAAAAGACTCCCACCCGCCACAATATTTAGACCAAGTTCTAATTTTACACAGATGTAGATGACTCAATGTCCAATGTTATTTTGCCAGCGATAAACTCAGCAGAGTTTAAAGAAGTGGAGAGACTACAACTCTTTTTGATTAATAAATCAACTCCACAATCTCCTCTTTATCATAAATTAAAATTAAACACTTAACAAATTTTAATGGATCGGTGGAGGTCGGTTTAGTTGTGTGGTACCTGGTTATGATTATTGAGAAAACTTGACTTCCATAAGCCCCGCCATAAAAAATTTCAAAACAAACCCCCTCCTCCCTCCTGACCCAATTTTATGAAATTGAATTTGGACCCTCCTTCCTCCCCATAATAAAAAATCCATCTCAAAAAAAGATTCTCAAATTTTAACTATATACCCATCAACGACGGCTACATCAGCTAGTTCTATATCAATCTAAAATAGTGATTAAATTATAATAAAACAATAGTTAAAATAAAATATAAAAAATATATATATAATTAAAAAATTAATTGATTAATACTTACGATAGTTCGAAGATTTTGATTTACAGCTATTTCAAGACATTTTCTGTAACAAGATTCCAGCAAATCAGGTTTTTCGCCTCGAGGACCAACAGTGTGGATCACATCTAAAAAATTGATAAAATTAATATAATTAACGAGAATAAAAAAATAGTTAATTGTATTTCTTCAATTTGGTATCAATATAAAAGAATAATCTCATGTCAAAATATAATATAAACATTTAAAAAGTTTTTCTTGTTCTTTTTAAAATCAATATAGCAGTTAGGTAGGTAGGTAAATAATCTACATACAATTTTAATAATAAAAACTTACAACTTTTTTTTTATCTTGATATAAAATTTGTAAATATTAAAATTTAATACAATTAGACAGTTAGGCAGGTCTGTAAATAACCTACAGATATTGTAAATATATTTTTAACTAGATCAATTTTATATCCCAAGCCACCAATAAAAAAAAAAAAAGGATGAGAAATGAAAAAAATATATTTAGTTACTATGGTAGACATTTTTCAAGGGAACTCAATGTACTTACACATGGTGCATATAATATATATGCACTATAATATATATACTTACACCTATATATATATATATATATATATATATATATATATATATATATATATATATATATATATATATATATATATATTAAATAAATAAATAAATTATTAAATTGTGTATGAAATTATTTAAAACAAGAAAATAATAATTTTTATTTTATAAATCACACTTTACAGGAAAGATTTTTAATACAGTTTCTTGAAGGTATGCAAAAAACTAAATCTTTCTCCATTAGTAAAAAGGCGTGGAAGACAACCCTTGATATAGTCAGGGTAACAATGCAAGATTAGAATGTTCCTAAATAGAATAGAAGTAAAAAGTTATTACAAAAATGATAACAGAAACAATTATGGATGATATTTATGACAATAATAAATAGAATATTCCTAAAGATGGGGCAGAGCCCTGAAATGTTGAACAATGAGTAAAACCGTAAACATGAGTAATAAAAAATTTACCCCACGAGGAAGATTGAATTTTTTCGCATACCTTCAAGAGAAAACAATAAACTTCATGCTGTCAGAAATAAAGAACATTAAAATTGTATTCTTACTATTAGAATTCTTAATATTAATGTATCTTTTAAATGTAAATTATAATTTGTTTTGAGAGGCAAGAAAAGTATCCCATCCCAGAGAACTATCTGGCTGTTGGTTATGGCCCTAGCAGAGCACCAAATTGGTCCTCCCTTACATTGTCAAGGAGTTAAAAAGTGTAAATAAATTAATACAAAAAACATTGGTACCACTGTATAAGTATCACTCCATTTTGACGAGTGAGCCAAGATCTCATGATTACATCATAAATGGAGAATAGCTAAGGATTGATGGGTGTTCACAATAAACCATCCCTTTATTTAGATCACAATTTACAAATTCCATAAAAAAACAACTGGTCCTTTTCAGTTAAAATCGGGAGCTTAATCTCCTTGCTTTCTATTTCCACTCGCTATGCTCACCCTAAAGAGATACACAAACTCCCAACGGAACTTGGTAACAAAATCCCAACTGGTCCTTTTCAATTCAGGTTGGGGTCTAAGCAGACGGTTCGGTCACTTCCTTAAACTTTTTCAATTTTTCCTTTTCCCTAAACTTTCAGACACACTCTGTCATTATTAGAATTTCATTAATGGTGTGGTCATGAGATCTTATGCTATCAATCAGAGTGGAGTGACACTTGTACAGTAACACCAAAACATTTATTTAACTATTAACCTCGAAAAGAAAAAGTAAAATAAAAAATCTGGTGTGTCCACTCACACGACTTTCCTACCTATTTCAGAAAAGTTTTTATATCTTTACATATGTCCATAAAAAAAAAAAAAAAAAAAAAAAAAAAAAAAAAAAAAAAAAAAAAAAAAAAAATGAATTAGATTTATTTTCCTGAAAATTTATCAAAGAAAAATTTTGAGTATGATCTATTTGATAAACTAAAGCAATTTAAACCATAGATCAGTGTAAAAAATTTAATAACTAACTCCCCGGCGCTACAGGCCAGCATGACTCTTGGCCTCCTCTGAGTTATTTTTCTGCACTTCTCTTTGTGCTACTCTCTTCCAATTGAGAACTCCTAGCTTCTTCACATCTCTCTCCACTTCATCCTTTCATCTGCTTCTCGGTCTACCTCTTTTCCTCTTCCTTCTGAAGTGTGCTTCTAATATTTTTCTCTGCACCCGTTCATTCTCCATTCAGACTACATGTCCTCCCCATCTCAGCCTACTTGCCTTGATATCGTTAATAATGCTTTGATTCTCTAATATAGCCACGATTTCATTGTTACTTTTGATTTTCCACTCACCATTAACACTTGTAGAACCTTAAATCCTTCTTATTATTTTCCTTTCGAATACTTTTAGTTTACGGCAATCCTCTTGCGATAAGCACCAGGTTTCCGCTCCATAGGTGACTACTGGTATAATAGGCATTTTATACAGCTTTATTTTTGCGGCTGTTGACAACAATAGAGACTTGAAAAGTTTTAGGTTTGCATAGTAAACTCTTTTACCAGCTATTATTCTGTTGTCTATTTCTCTGCTGATTAAATTTTCATTATTTAAGGCAGAACCAAGATACACGAATGTGGGTACATTTTCGAACTTAAAATTCTTTATTCTGATTTCACTGGAGGATCTTCTACTTGCTGCAGAGGACAGTTTCAGGTATTTAGTTTTGTTTTCATTGACCACAAGTCCTACTTTGTTGTCATTTTTGTTTATAATCTCATATGCTTCTTTAGGCAGTTTTTCACTTCGTGCAGCTATCACCAGGTCATAAGCACAAATTTGCCAGTAAAAATTTTAATACCCTCTAATATTGTTGATCAAAACCATAGCTGCCATAGCTTAATTTCGTCAAACAATAATTTCTGTTAAAAGTAAAGGAAATAGTGAAGCTTGTGTGATGCGGGCACGAGATTTTCTTACTTTCAGTTAGTCATCTTTTTTCTCTCATTCACACCTTTCTGACACCAGGATATGAACCCCTCGTCTTACATTGGAAATTGAATAGCTGTAACTTCATTAATAGTTGTCCAAAATGAACGATTTTTAAATCGTGTTTTTTTTGGACTTGAGGGCTCTGAAACATATAGATCCGAATTCCTGACGTATAGGTAGGAAAGTAATAAATTAAAATATCTGTAGAAAATAGAATAAGCTGTATCATCGCTAATACTGGTTCTATTCCGATGAACTTTTTTTTGTTATGTTGGTATTTTAATTACCTTTCAAAAGTTTTATTATAAGTTTTACCATATAATATATACTTAGAGAGTTAGGCCTAAAAAAAACATTTTTCTTTTCTTTATAACTTTTTTCCTGAATTTTCCAGAGGAATTTAGTCCATATACGAAAATTGAAAGGATAATTATTCGAACATCATAGGAAAGTTTCATCAAAATCGTTAGAGCCGTTTTCACACTACAGTCTATAGAAAAACACGTTTTTCAGCAGCTATTGCGCATGGAGCACCCAATTTCTAACACAGGCATCAGTAATTTACGAGAAAATCTTGACACAGACAGACAGACCAATGGCTAAAAATGTGTTTTTCGGACTCAAGGGGCTCTGAAACGTATAGATCTGTCGAAAATCATAATATTTTCCTTACCTAGTATAGGTAAGAAAGTAAAAAATTGAGTCTAGAAAATAGTCATTGAGTCAAGCACTGCAAGAGAGAGATGTTGTCATTTGGGCCCTGAAAATGGAAATGGTAAAGAAATTATGATAACAGATAGTGTATAATGATGTAGACAATCTAATTATGATAGCAGGATGTAAATCTATGCGAGAATGAGATTTGGAATTCCACAAATAATATAAAGAGAAGAATAATGGCATTATTTGCTGAGCTCTGAAGAAAAAGAACAGGTCGAAATGCAAAAATTATTGGGGTGTTTTCAGTTAATGATGGCTTATAGCATTGTCTATCATTCACCTCAAAGACAGTTGAAAACAAGAGAAACATATTTGGGCATATTGAGGACAATGTTAAAAGCTATTAGAGAACAATGATGGCAAAAATAGATCTAAGGGCCAGGAGACCAAGCAGTTAATGAACAAGGCTGACATATCAGAGAAGAACTTGGGCTATACCAAGGGTGAAAGAAGCTGTTCAAGAAAGATACAGCCAATAGCCCTGGAGCCAGGGCCTAAAAATCGACCTGATCGCAGGCGAAAGTTTGATTGTAAATTAAGAAAGTGTATGTTATTCTGAGTAAAATGAACCTTGTCTGCCATTCCAGAGCCGCTGCTTTCAAAAATAGCGGATGATTTAAAGAATATTAGGTCAGTAATTTGAAGATCGAAACGGGAAATGCGAAAAATGTGAGAAAAGTTTTTGTTTTTTTAACTTGTATATATGGGTTTAGACATGTAAAAAACAAAATTGCTAACGCGAGCCACCAAGGTAAATCTTTTTAAAGCCAAAAAAGTCAGATTTTTTCGAAATTTTTTGGGTTTTTCACCTATAACTCCTATACAATGCATCAAAGCGAAAAATGTATTCTTTAATAAATTAAACGACGTTAAATTTTGCGTCAAACGAGTACATAAACTTTATGATTTGGTGACGTGGTAAGGTATAAAACCACGGTCAACGAACCCTGAACTTTACCAAATTTTTTCAAAAACTGAGACAAATTACAATAAATGGCCCTGTAACTTGGAAATGAGTTCCCTAAAAGAAAAAACCCATAGAATCAAAGTTGTAGAGCATCAAATTTTGTGTCCATTCAGTACTGACATCTTTATTTTAGGCCAATTATATATCTTGAATCGGGATTCGTTAGTCCTTTATAAAATTCGGAATCTTTCGGCACATCGTTTACCAAAATCTTTTGCTGTTGAGAGGTGGAAAAGAAGCTTATGCTGCATGTAACAGACTTTAAACAAAACTAACTCATTAGAAAAGACACCCATACTGTTGAAATATTGAAAATCACTTGTACCTTTATTACCAATTTCTAACTGTCGATAGATTACCGATTTTTTTCTCAACCAGTGACCTAAATTAAATTAGTTGGTACTCAGTTGACACAAAATTTGATGCTCTACAACTTTGATTCTATGGGTTCTTCCACTTAAGGAACTCATTTCCAAGTTACAGGACCATTTATAGTAATTTTTCTCAGTTTTTGACAAATTTGGTAAAACTCAGCTTTGGTTGACCGTGGTTTCATACCTTACGGCGTTACCGAATCTTAATGTTTATGTAACCGTTTGACGCAAAATTTAATGATCTTTAATTTGTTGAAGAGTACATTTTTCGTTTTGATGCATTGTTTAGGAGTTATAGGTGAAAAACCCCAAAAATATCAAAAAAATCTGACTTTTTTGGTTGTAAAAAGTTTTCCCTTGGTGGCCTGCGTTAGCAATTTTGTTTTTTACATGTCTAAACCCATATATACAAGTTAAAAAAATAAAAACTTTTCTCACATTTTTTGCAATGGATTTCCCGTTTCGATCTTCAAATTACTGGCCTAATATTCTTTAAATCAGCCGCCATTTTTGAAAGCAGCGGCTCTGGAACGGCAGACAAGGTTTTTTTTTCTTAGAATAACATACACTTTCGTAATTTACAATCAAACCTTTGCCTGCGATCAGGTCGATTTTTGGGCCCTAGCTCCAGGGCTACAATCAAGGAATAGTAAACTGGCAGCTGATTAATCTTGATTGACCATAGAAGAAGAAATTGAGGAGGTACTGTCGACATCCACTTTCCATCATTTATTCGAAGAATGAGATAAAAACTAACAAATATAAAATGTTAGAGAAAGTTAATTCAGTTTAATGAGGAAAAAGAAGATACTTACGTTTAGCTGGCAACTTATAACCTCCAGTTATCTTAGCATCACCAGTGACACAACCTTTTAATAGTCTACATTCTTCAACAAGTGAGGGACCAGCAGCTCTATGAATAGCACCATCGACTGAAAAAATTAAGAATGTATAAATAAACAATTACAAATGAAAACCAAATTAAAAAATATATATATATATAGAAAACTAAAAACTTAAGAAGACCCGTTTATCTATTTTTTCATGTATTTCCTCACATCAACAATTTTGTCAAAATTAACTAATGATAAAACTGTGAAAAAATTATATTTGAGCCATTGTATTTGCTAATTACAGAACCGTTCTGTAAATATATTTCTTTCTATATGATAGATGTCAATATTATTGTTACACGTATTCTTTCTATCTATCTATACTGGCACTACAACCTACTTAGCGAGTCATGGCCTCTGCCTCCCAACGCCTAATACATGTATTCTTTACAGAGTCGATATACTGACAAAATTTGATATTGATAATTTTATCAAGTGTCAATTACATTTTTACTTGTGCACATAAGCCCTCCAGTAAGGATTGTATATTGTAATTATTTATGAAAATCAACACCAAATTATTAACTTTAGTTGTTTTTTAATCAAAACTTTCGGAAAAATGTCATATATTTAGCAACCAAATGAGAAACAAAGGAAAATATAACATGATAATTGGTGACCAGAAAAGGTGACTAATGAATAATTTCTATGTTCCTAACACTACTGGGTAAAGAAATTATTGTTATTAGGTTCAAAATATCAATGTGGGAGGTTTTAATAGATCTTAAAAGCGAAGTTCCCTGTATCCAAATAGCATATTTTCAGCCAGAATTTTGGTCTGTCTGTGTGTGCATATGAGGTCACAAATTGAACCTCAAGCCTCACTAGCTTGGTGAGGTGAAGTTATGAAGAATGATTGGGGAGGAAAACAGGATTAAATCAACTGTGATCTGGGTGAGCGAAAGTTTTATTCTAACTGCATACAATTCATGTATTATTTTCTAACATTTTCTAATATGTGGTGGAATAAGTGAAATTTACATAGATTCATTACTAAGTTCGGAATCAGATTCTATCAGATGTTAGAGATCAAATAATTATTACATTTCTCCATGAGAAAATATCCAAAAAGCAGTAACTTAAAAAAAGAAAGATACAAGGAGAATTCATCCTCGAAGATGAATTTTCTGTTGAGAAATATAAAAGTTATTATCCTGTAAACCATGACCAGTTTGATTGCATGATTCATTAAGGAATCACTAGATGCCACGTTATCATGTAATAATCTTTGAAACATCTGGAAAGTAATGAAGAATTTTCTTATGCAAGAATAAATCAAGTTCAGCAATTATTTTCCTTCATCACGTACTTCCCCTGAGAGATTCAGTTCAGAGTCACTAGCGACAAATTGAAACAAGAGCACAAAGACCAAAAAACAGCATGAATTCACTCTGCAACCAACTTTTGCTTTTCCATTCTATTCTACATTTCCCAGAAATTCACCCAACACACCACGTCAACTCACAAAGCTGTGATTCAATCTGTGCCTGGTCTGATATGCTAGACAGAACTCACATGTTTAATCTGAACATACCGTCTACAAGGCATGATTAGGTAATCGGAAGTTATTCAATAAAATAAATATTAAACATTTCAAAACAATATATAAAAACATGAATCACATAAATCTTACAAAGGGTAATAAGATAATACTAAATTAATATATAAAATAATCAAGATTAATAACAATAAACAAAATTTATTGAAGTCAATAACTTTTATCACACAAGGATACTAGTGAATGAAGGCAGGTTATGTTAAGATTTATTTGGTCAATTTTTTATTTAAATCTTCCACTGAAGCTAGAATCTAATTGTTGAACTTGATTAAAAGCATATTATACCTTTCAGAAAAACAGGTATTTTAAATACTTAAACAATCTTGAAAAAAAAAGGTAAAACTTCACAAGGTGGCTAGTCCAAGATCATATCACACACACTTTAGACAGAATTTCGGAATAGATTGAATGAGTCTGAAAGTAGATGAAGCCAATAATTACAAACCTATGAATACAATCGGGAAATAAATGAAAAGTTAAAAGTAAACATAATAATGCAACATAAATTAATATATAAAATAATAATGATTAATAACGATACAAGTAAAGAGGGAGTAAATAGTAAACAAAGTAAAGTGGGTTTTCCTGAAAAGAGGAATCCAATGAAATGAGAGAAGGCGTTTGGTGGAAGGCAGGGAGAACTGGAGAAAGCATTGTAGACTTCCTCCTCACACTGCATAGGCGGTACTAGAGGAGAGAAGATGATGTGAATTTAAATTCTGAGAAAGTGGTAATTTCAATTTTGAAGAATTATAAGTGACACAGAAGCAATGTTATAATTTATTGAAATAAAATATCACCTAACCTAAAATATAATTCCTATATTACAAAATATAAGTGAATGAAATATACCTCTAACATAACATAAACACTGAGGTTAAGACAAGACAGAATTATCAAACAGACTCAGTTGTTTTTCGCATTAAATGTGTACATTGTGATCATGGGCCACACCACATTCAGAAATGTTATGAACTAGTACCTATAAAATTTTCTTACCTCCTCCACCGCCAAGCAGAGAAGTATTGGCAGCGTTAACAATTGCATCTATTTCTAAAGTTGTGATATCACCTTGCCACAAAGAAACTTTATCATTTAAGGCACTGTCAACTTCTTCTTTTTCAACAGGTAAATTGATGCTGAAATCCGTGTGCACTGTAAATTAAGAAACAAATACAATGGCTTATGTTTTGGAAGATATATACTGATATTTCATAATTAAATTGAAAAAATAAATACTTTGCCCAATAAGACGGGATCTATTTTTTACGAAGTATTCCACCCAAGTAGGAATTGAGCTTAGCTCGGTATACTTTCCTCCTCTATATTGCTGTCTTTTATCTTCTAGTGACATTATTAGATATCTTTCTAAATACATTAATTATCAATTAAATACACAATATTTAAATTAAGAATAAAGAATGCACAGCAATTTTACCTTTAACTTCAAAAACTTGAGCATATTCAGTAGCAAGTATGCCAAATAATCTACCAAAGAACCAAGATGGTTTATGTAGTATGGAAGCAAAACATTGGAAACTATTTATATGAAATTGTGGTTGGATGTTATTCACTACCTTGAAGAACTAAAAACAAGAGTATATTATATTAAACAGTTTTAGAACACCAGAGTACAATTATAATTTGTAATTATTCAACAATTAAACATATATATCATTTTTACACTTCAGTGCTATCAATAATAACCCTTTCTTACCCACATAATAAAAACAAGAACAACGCAGAACTGTTCACTGCATTCTGCATATAAATAGTACAGAATTCAACTGCACTACTCTATAAAAAATTATTCTTCAGCCAATGAACAAGCAGCTGATATTTCGAAATTCTAGACTATAACTAAAATAAAAATTACAGGAAATAAATACCTTAAACAACTGTTAAAACAGTCCAAAAATTTCACCTGTCAAATGTTACAATCCTGTATACTGTAATCGAACATAAATAAGGAAGTACGAAAAAATCCGTTACAAAGAAAACACCAAAGATATATAAACATAAAAAGTGTCTAACCTTTAAAGTACAAGAAGCGATACATACCTTTTAATTTACTGTAAATATCAATTATTATGGAAGCGAGTTATTGCTGTGAGCAAGGCACTGTACTTCTAACACCAAGGGCGAACTTCGAACCCGGCTGTGGCGGATAATTTTTATTTTGCTTTTCAACCGTGGACAGAGATGGGAAAAATTGGAATCAATTATTAGATTATTACAACTGAAAATGAAACTTAATGACCATAAGAAATATGATACGATTGATTGTGTAATCACGCATCGAAATCAGTGTGTAATCGTAATCACGTAATCATATTACTGTAATCGTAATCGTTGTTTATGATTATGCTAATCCACCTCAACGGCCAGGAGATCTTCTTGGGCATATCCAGCCTAAATAGACTGAGTATCCTTAATAGTATTAATAAAGGGGAAAAACAGTCGGTTAAGCATCATCTCAGTCCAATAGCCCATACCGCTAAGCTTAGATGTTTCTGCTGTACTTCCTTACAAAGGACCTAGCCCAAGAGCCGAAGAGAAGAAGACTCGGAGATATCTCAGCTTACATTCAGATATTTCACCTCAAAAATATTAATCAAAATTAAATGCAATTTGTTGTCAAAATCGATCACTCTGTCAATCGAGGCAGAGGAGAATTGAAAGTGGCGGTGGATCCAAAACATTACAAACAACTCAAAACTCGGGCTGATTCATATATATTCGTTTTTGTACCCGTTGAAACTAGGTTTGGTACTGACAAAAAAAAAAACAAAAAAAAAAAAGTCTGCTAAGTATAAATATGCCGAACGTTGTGTTGACAAAATTAAACATTTTAGATAAAAAAAATATAAGATCAGTTATTACACAACTGTTCGTTTCTATCCCATTTGAAAATAAGTATCCCATCGCATTCGGTATTAACACAAAAAACACATACTATCTTCTCTGTTGTGTGGCAGACAAAATTCATATTTCAATTTCAAAACTCTAAAATCGGGATATTTCATTCTTCTTCAGTTTTGACCCTTTTGAAACAAAGTTTAGTTTTGACAAGCTGAATGAAAAAAAAAATTAACTCTGCCATGCTTTTGGTGTTCCGAGACTATATAGTGATTTGTAATAACCACAAATATAAGTATATTGCCAAACATGCTGAAAAAAAATTTAAAAAATACTTTATTTCGGGTCTGTTCGTTTTGAGTATTAACACAGAAGACAGGGATCACACTCAGTACCTCTATAGTATTTGCAAAGATACCTTGTCCCTACCATTGACAAACATAGCTTGCATGTGAAAACAAATAACAATGGAGGACGAATGATCAGTTTTGCTGCATCTAGATCACTAGTAGCGATAGGTACAGTTTTTTCACACAAAGAAAAACACAAGCAAACATGGATGTCACCAAATGGAACTGCAACTCAAATCGATCACGCTGTGGTCTCTAGTAGACATTTTAATATAGTTAATGATGTGAGATCATATAGGGGGCTAGACATCTCTTCTGATCATTTTCTGGTAGTTGCAAAGATCAAACATGCATATAAGATAAGAATGTTTGAAAGAAGTAAACCGCAGATCACCTGGGCAAGAGAAAATTTAAAGGAAGAGGAAATAAGGTATGCTTTCCTGAGAGACGTTGAAAGAGGTGCAGGTAACATCCCAGCTGTAATTGGAGGAAGAGATGTGAATGAGGAATGGAACCATATTAGAAAAGCTATAGCTGATTCAGCTGACCAACATTGTAAGAGGGATGGAAACAGAAAGCTAAAAAACGTGTGGTTTGACATGGAGTGTGAAGAAGCAGTCAATGTGCGCAACGAAAAGAGGAAAAAACTTCTAAACAGGGATACTAGACAGAACAGAAAGGAGTACCAGGAAGCCAGAGCTAATGCAAAAAAGATTTTGAGGCAAAAGAAAAGGTATGCATTACAGGGAAACTGGCGTAAGGTGGAAGAGTACAGCAGGGACAATGAGGCCAGAAAGTTTTTCGGTGAAATAAATAAAATAAAATCAGGTTTTATAAATAACTGTCCGATGATAAAGCTTTCTGATGAGAAAATGGTCTTCCAGGATCAAGATGTGCAAGGTAGATGGATGGAGCATTTTCAGGAATTGCTAAACCCTAGGGAAGATGACGAGTATCCTGATAAGGATTTTCGAGACATTGAGAATGACCATGAAGTGAGCCCACCAGATTTAGATGAGGTTGAGGTTCAGATGGCATACCAGCGGAGTTTTTGAAGATTGGTGGGTCAGCACTGGCCGAGGAGTTGACTCATCTGATAGTTAATATCTGGGAGACTGAAAAAATGCCAGATAGCTGGAAGAAATCTGTCATCATTCCCTTACTCAAGAAGAAAGGTGCTTCCATAGACTGTAATAATTATCGGGGAATTAGCCTCCTGAATACTGTTTACAAAATATTTTCAGTTATTCTGTATAATCGAATTGTGGATTTTGTGGAACCTCAGTTGGGCAATTACCAGGAGGGTTTCAGGAGGAATAGGTCAACTATTGACCAGATATTCTCTTTAAGACAAATAATGGAGAAAACGAAAGAATTCAACAAGATTATATGGATCCTTTTCATTGACTTTAAAACAGCATATGATTCCATTATCAGGAAAGAGCTCTACCTGGCAATGGAAGAGATGGGAATTCCACCGAAGCTAATCCGACTTGTATCGTGTACTTTGAAAGAGAGCGCAATTCGAGTGAAAATAAATGGGAAGCTGGGCCAACCTTTCGCGGTGAAGTCAGGAGTTAGACAGACCTTTCTCCACTTCTATTTAATATCGCCCTCCAAGTTGTGGTGAATAGAGCAGAGCTTAGTCAGTCGGGCACCATTTTTAGTAAAATGACTCAAGTGCTTGGATATGCGGATGATGTGGCGCTGATTGGACTGTCCCTCAAGGCGATCAAGGAGGCCTGTGAAAGGTTTCAAAGGGAAGCTGGAAGAATTGAACTATCCATAAATGAGGAAAAAACAAAAATTATGGTGCTCAGGAAGAAAACACCTATAAATCCGCCTAAGCATTATGTAGTGGGAAAATATGCGTTTCAATGCGTGTCCAGTTTTAACTACCTCGGCTCCATCGTTAATGATCAGGTTGACGAAGAATAAGAAATTCAAAATCGGGTAATGGGGGCTAAAAAAGCATATTTCGCCCTAAGACGTTTCCTCCGGAGTAAACTACTAAGTAGGATTACCAAAATTATTATATACAAAACAATCATCCGACCTGTACTGACCTATGCCAGTGCAACCTGGACTCTACGCAAAAGTCTGGCTGAAAAGATTGACAGTCTTGAAAGAAAAGTGTTGAGGCGTATCATGGGGTCAGTTAAAGAGAATGGTACATGGCGTTTAAGGAAGAACAAAGAGATCTACGACTTATTCGACGATCTCCGAGTTTCTCATTTCGTGCGAATTCAACGCTTAAAATGGCTGGGATATATTATCAGAATGGATGAAGGTAGAGCCGTGAGGAAATTATATTATGGAACCCCGGATGGAGTCAGACCACGTGGAAGACCGAAGGGAAGGTGGAAGGACTCCGTGGCTGAGGACTTGATGATGGTGGGAGTATCCAGCAGACATGCTGCTGACCGAAATGATTGGGAAAGGGCAGTTGAGAGGGCCAAGGGCAGCTTCAGGCGCCTGTCGAGCCGTTAAATAAATAAAGATCCCTTATTTTTTAAATTACAGGAATAATTTAAAAGTAAATCAGGTTAGATAGGTGTTTTATACGGAAAAGAACGTAAAGTTTTTTAGAAAAAAAAATTATAACTGAAGGAACTATCGGTATACGTAAAAACTATCATTATTATAAAAATATAGTTTCGAACATCAAGCTGGATTCAGAAAAGGAAACACCACACTAAACCAAATCTTCATCCTACAGCAAGAACTCAAAAACCGACCAGAAGTAGCTCGGTATGTTCATGCTTTACTTGTCGATTTCGAAGAAGCTTATAATTCCATGGACAGAAACTCGTTGGAAAATCATGACTGAAATAGGGGTTCGCAGGAAGTTGGATTGACGAAGGCTTTCACAAATGATCCTAAATGTTGAATCCTAATACAAGAAGTATCTGATACCTTCAAAGTTCGAACTGGCTTGGATTAGGGAGCAATGGACTCTCGCCGATATGTTTCTACTTAGAGCTAGAAAAAGTGATAAGAACATCATATGAAAATGGAAGGATGCACTTCGGATTCGAGTCTTCGCTAAAACTTCTCGAGCGATCACTAAGACTCTGATAAACAGAGCAATTCGTCCTACAAATAACTGAACATGAAACAAAAGTTATGATAAGCCTAAAATTCCACCCCAATAACAATGCAATGTTTTTATTTGTGTTTGATTTCATTATGAATCCCCCCGTGATCTCGGGGACAGAGTAGTCCCAAAATCAAAATCTAAAGGCACAACATTTTTTTTTTTTTGATAAATCCCTATCCACAATTTCTGGCATACGGGGAGGGCGTTGTTCTGTAGCTACAACGAAAGCTATTCCAACCAGAGTGGGAGGGATAGTCGAGTTTCATTCCGTGGGTCCGTCACGAAATAAAAGTCAACCTCACCCAGGTCGGATTCGAACCGTCGTCGCTGGGCTCGAGAATGCTAAAACGGGCCACACTAACACGCTGGACCATCACGACTTCAACTTCACTAAAGGGACAACTGTCTTTATCAACTGACTTCATAACTTCATCCTGCACATTCCTTCCAGTGGTCTTTCTTATCCTTTTTCTGTACTCCTTACTTTCCAAATCCCTTATCGTCTTATGGAGCTAGAAAGAAGGTCCAAAAAACTAAGGGAATAAACTCTCCTCCCCCTGGTAACAAATCCCGGTTCTTTAGGTTGGGCGTTAAGTGCTGGTCTGATAACTTGGTTCCATAAAAAGCATTTCGTTACGAACACACAAAGAAGAAATAGCCGAACTGATTTAAAGTTAAAACCTAAGGTTGGAAATGGACTTATTTATATCGGAACATACGGCGGCAGAAGATAAATCAGCGAAAGAGAAAGATGAATTTTATGGTACTCTAGAGAAAATTGTGGATGGAATCCTGAGATATGATGTGAATTTGGTCTTAGAAGATCGGAACGCGAAAATAGGGAATGAGAACACATTTTATCTAGTTATAGGAAAAGTAGGAAAAGATAGTTAGCATGGTATCTCCAGCAATAACGGGATGCATCTGATAGACTTTGTGGCATCTAGGGAAATGAGGGTGAGTGACACCTTTTTCGCTCACAAGAATATTCACCAGGAGACATGGCTATCTCCAGATGGAAAGATCAGGAACCAGATTGACCATGTGCTGAAACATGTGACAAACATGCTATATTATCACAATTTCAAAGGTGCTGTGAGTCGGATCATTTTCTAGTTAAGACTAGGTATACAATAAAATATCCTCATACCAAAGAGCCTGAAGAGAGAGAGAGAAATGATCAAAGAGAATTGATAGAAAAAGCTACAAGTTGAAGAGACCCAAGATTTATTTAAAAGAAAAATTGAGGATAGGTTTGAGAACTTGGAAAGAACAGATTCAATTGAAGAGAACTACATAGTTCTGTATGTACATGCCCATAGGTTCTTGGTGCGAGACAGCAGAAAAGAAGAAACAACTGGTATAACAAAGAACATGAAAAAGTAATCAGAGAAAGAAATGGTGCCAAAATGAAATTAATAAAAGAATATGGAGAACCTCAGCAGAGAGCTATAAAAGAAAAATACCAGAGGCAAGGAAAACATAAAGAAGAAAAAAGAGGGTTCAGGACAGAGAGTAGAGCATATTCAAGAATTTGATAAAATGAACATGAAGGACAGGCAGTGATAAAACAGATTTTATCAATTGATATGGGATATACGGACTCAAGAAAATATGCCAAGAGACTGGAGTAAACCTGTTCTTTACCCAGTATATAAGAAAGATGATAGAATAACATGCGAGAACTATAGTAGGATAGCTCTTCTGTCTTTTTTGTACAAGGTCTGCTCCATTAATAAACTGGAGATCAGTAAGAAGGTCTGAGAAGGTTATTAGTGATTACAAGCATGGTTTAAGACAAAGAAGATCCACAACTGTCTCAATCTTCACATTGAGACAGCTATTGGAAAGGAGTCATGAGTATAACATTAGCCCGCAACACCTTTTTATAAATTTCAAGCAGGCATATGACTCGGTAGACAGGAAAAGAATGGCTAGAAATATCCAAAGCTGGTGAGGTTAATTCAAATGATGTGGAAGGAAACCATGACTCAAATAAGCATTGGTGGAGCCCTATCGAAAGAATTTGATATGACAAGCAGTGAGACTAGGCAGAGAGAGACTGAAGGGCAGACCAAGGCAGAGGTGGTTGGATGAGGTAGAGGACAATTTTAGAGGGATGGGAGTAAAAGGATGGTGAAGGAAGGCATGGATGGCTATCAATTTTAAGTGGTGCCAAAGTCCACCTAGGACTGTGGCACCAAGTAAGTACCACTTAACACTGCTGACCCAACTAACTTCCCAACAATATTCTCATAAGTTTGGATAAACATACTTTTCAAAATATAAAATATATGAATTTCAAGCATTATAGTTTGAATTTAATACTTTGTCAATGTGTGTACTGCATTACCTATTTAGTTACACTTACTTTTTAAAATGGGCCAGTACATGGCTGGGTAGTCTAAGTGGGAATCTGCCTTATTCCTACTTATATATGAGTCAAAAAAGAAAAAAAAAGTGTGGAATGGATGTGTTCTTGATTGTACTAACTTCAATTTTTTATTTGGTCTGCAAAATTTCGGGCTTACCACAAATATGACAGAGTAGCTTTATTTGTGTCAGAAGTAAACTTAGTTTCCAATGGTTAAAAAATGATGAAGTATTAAATAACTCGACTTTCCGAACAGGAAATTCATCATTTTTGAATAACAATGAGGAATGAAGTGGCTGGATTTTAGAGTTTTAAACATGAATTATGGACTTCGTCTGCATAAAGCTGGGAACACAATAGACTTCACAGAGTGGCTTTCTTTTTTTTTTGTCATTATCAAATCTAGTTTTAAATGGAACAAAACCAAGTATGGAATTACAAGGGTTTTGAGTTGCTTGTAACGTTTTGGATCCACCACCACTTTCAATTTACCTTTACCTTAATTGGTAGAGTCAACAACTTTCAGTAGGAAATGGCTCTCATTACAAACACAAATTTTGTATAAATAAAATATTTATTTATTTTATATCTTATATGATAACAAAATTGGACTATTGTTATGTTAATATTATTTGTTTTTTGCTCAGAATTTCTTAACTGGTAGGAATTATTTCTAAATATTCATTATCATTGTTCAACATTAAAATCATAGACCTTTCAGAAATTGTGTAAGTACAATCATGAGTTAAGTTAAGTTTAATATTATATATATAATATTTCCTTACCTCTGATGGAAAATAAATAAATACTTGAAGGTAATAAGAATACAATTTATATTTTATTTTTATTACATTGTTTAAGGGCACATTAAATATATTCATTGCAAAGAGGAGGAAGACATTATTTTTTCCCATAATTAAGGAATATTATCACCTTTAACCACTGAAAAAATCCAGACACAATCGTAAAAACATTTTCCATTACTATTATTTACATATTCAATTTTTTTTTTGTTCTTTTTTGAAAATTGTAATTACAAATCCACAAGTTATTGGTATACACATTTAAAATTGTAAGAAAATACCTTATTTGAATACTTAACATACTTCTTAGCATTC